AACCACATTTAGTCTCGTTTTTATTCGTCAACAATATTGCATTATACATTTAATTATAGTCATCGTCACATGACCAGCATTTACGTTGCGTCTCGTCTCGTTTTCGTCACGTGATAAAGGTCCGTTGACGAAGATATTTAGTCATAATTTTCATTGACGAAAGCAAAAGTAATTGGCGCAATTCGGCATCAAGCAATTGTTCGTTTGAGTTTTCCCTCTTTTCCTCGGATTTCTTGACTTTCAAATAGCTTGAAAAACCGCCGTGTGCGTTTTACTTTCACTTTCAAATTAGCGGCAATTCTGCTTTGATTCAATTCAAGCAACAGGAACCAAATAAATAAGATACATAGAACGCTTATTAAGAAAGCTTGAACAAGAAAGCTTGGAGGCACAGCAAATACACCTTGATGTAAAATAAAATAAATAAAATACACAAAGTCTAAATAAATTAATCAGCATAAACTGTGGAACCAAATAAATAAGAAACGAATGTTTAAAAGAAAAACTTCCAGTCAATAGGCTTTTCAAAATCTAAAATATTGCCAAACAGGCGCCTTTGCATTTCCTTTCTAAACAATCTTCTGCCATCATCTTGTCTTTCTCACCTCACTCTTGTCAGTCAGTTCGACTCACTCTCCTCACGTGATCAATAAAATCTGACTCCTGCTCCGTGGTGCGCTGTCGTTCGCGCACGGTTCGGCACGCTGCATTGAGAGTTAAGTTTTTAAAAGTGTCTGTCCTCTAACTGAACTAGGCTAAATTATTTGTTACTATAAAAAAAATCAAAACGATGGTGGGGGGCGGTGCCGCGGTAGGCAAATGACGTAACCGGTGTTGCAGCTTAACACCGGTATAACCGAAAACACCGTCTATCGCAGCAAGCCTAATTAAGGGGCCATTTTCAAGTAGTTATTTATTGACTAATATACAAGTTTTGGATAACTTTCTTTCTACAAAATTAGAAAGGTCAATCCAAAACAAGCAATGAGGTGAAATATTGTAATTAAACTGCACGTTTATAGTTTACTGGGTAAAACAAATTTGCAACAATTTTGTTGGACAGAAGAATTTTTTTGTTGATAAGTCAGAATTTTTTCCATTCCAGTTAGTTGATAAAGTTGGTCAAGATAAGCCTGACTTCATGAGACTGGTCTTGTTTGTGAATGTTATTTCCGTTTCTGAGCACAACATTTTAAAGTGACAAACTTGTTTGGCCTTTAAGCAATGTTTAAACCTATGCAAACTTTGTGGTATAGTTGGTTATGATGGCAAGATAACAGTCTGGTTTGCATGACACTTATTTTGTTTGTGGATGTGCCATTTCATCCTCAAATTATAGTTTTAAAGTAAACTCCTGTTTTGTCTGTAAGTGACATTTAAAGGAATAGTTCACCCAAAAATGAAACTTTGCTGAAGATTTACTCACCCTCTCAGGCCATCCAAGATGTAGATGAGTTTGTTTCTTCGTCCGATTTGGTGAAATGTAGCATTGCATCACTGTCTCAGCAACGGATGCTCTGCAGTGAATGGGTGCCGTCAGAATGAGAGTCCAAACAGCTGATAAACCCATCACAATAATCCACACCACTCCTGTCCATCAGTTTACATCTTGAGAAGCCAAAAGCTGCGTGTTTGTAAGAAGCAAATCCATCATTAAGATGTTTTTAACGTCAAACCGTCACTTCCTGCTAATAAATATATTTACAAAGCCTTCAAGTTTGATAGATAGATAGATAGATAGATGTTTCAAATTTCACCAATCTAAATTTGTATTTAGTTTAGGGCTGCCACTAATGACTTTTTATTTAGATTAATCTATCGACTAATTTATCGATTAATGTAAATGATTAATTTCCCACCAAAAAATCAACAACAATTTTACTTAAGAATATTTTATTAAACTATATTTCATTAAACCAAATGAAATCCAAAAGTAAAGTGCAACATAAAGTGCAAGAAGCAAGTGTCCATCTCATAGTCCAAATCACTGAAATCAAAGTTCAGTATTATAGTGTAAGAATGACAACATATCCACGTGTTCTAGTCTACTAATAATACAATTATAAAACACGCCGAAAAGTGGGTAGTTCCACAATTAGTTCTGGTACTATGAAAAGTTTCCTGCGGTGCGAAAGGCCCTAATGATAACAGTTCCTGTGGAACTACTGTGAACTGAGCCGCTGTGTGACGCACGTACTTAACCTACACGCATGTAAATAATTAAAGCGCATATACTGTATTAGAACTGCATCGCATATAATTATTTAATTAAATCGTAGAATTTGTGAATTCACAATTATGCTTAATTATGATTTTTAAGTGGGTTTAATATATCATGGAGCCTTAGAAAACAGACTAATGTGTTTTATGGATTCTCGTCCGTGAAATGCGCCACTTCCGGTATTTTGCCGGTTAGTCGATGCGAGCAAAATGAAGTCGAGGATTTTTAAAAATCGAATAGTCGAATAAAATCGACGAATCGCGACAGCCCTAATTTAGTTTATATATTTCATCATATTTAATAATGAATTAACTTAGACCAAGGTGGTAGAGCACCAATGTTATTTTAATATCTGTTATATACTATTATAGTTTTTATGAATATTTTGTTATGAATTCATTTTAAATTTTATATTTTCCATTTTCATTTTATTTTTAAAGTTTTAGCAATTTTGTTGTGTTTTTGTCATTTTTATTAGTTTTTTTCAACTTGTTTTAGTTTTTTGTTATTTTTAGTAATTAAACTAAAAAAAAATATATAGAAATGGTGCCAAAAATATGAAATTGTATATTTTTTTCTTTCAGTTAAATGTTTATTTCAAGCAAAACTGTTTTTTTTTTTTTTTGCACGTGTTTTTGTTATAGTTATATATAATTAGATATAAGATTTTGTTTTTGTTTCTGCCAGGCAAAATTCATAAGTTTAAATGCTAAAAACAAGAACAGCAATAGCATGAGCAACTAATAGCAAACACAACTTTTCTTAGAGTCCAAAAAGTGGTACATTTTTAAGAACATCATTTTATTTTGCTTTAAGAAAAAGTGTCAGTAAGTATAATGTGGTCTACAGAGATCTTATACTCTTTTGTCTGTAAGTGCCGAAGGCTTAGCTTATATCTGGATTATACACACAACGTTTGATCTCAGGACAGCGGCACTATTTACAGCACTCTTAAAATAGACCTCGGTGACCAGCCTGAATTAATGGCGAAGCCTGATGAGTTTTGTGCAAGATCACACTTGAAACCTTCTGGAAATTTTTGGCACTTACTATGATCATTTTATGAGCTCTTCTCAGTGCAGATTCACCGTCTAACTTGGATCAGGTCAGACTGTGTATAATGGCCTTATCTCAGGATATTTAGGCCTACAGCACTTCCATGCAGTGCAGTGTTAATGCATTTCACAGTTTAAGAAGGTGGAGCTTGTTTGCAGCAGGTGATTGAATGACAGTCAGTGGATTATAATCTTAACCTGGCTAAAGTCTTTGCTGACCCGTCCTGAGGACGCAGCAGGACAGAATGAGATCATCGCTGTAAAGAGGCCTATTAACTCTACAGCTTTACGCCCTTTCTATTGTGAAATGAATGACTAATTGGTTAATGTACTAGATTGTAATGAGGTGCCCTCGCGTCTGCCGAAAGCTCACAGCGCTTGTGTCTTCTTACTTGATGGGAATTATGTGATGTGCTCTGAAAAGTGGTACATTTTTAAGAACATCATTTTATTTTGCTTTAAGAAAAAGTGTCAGTAAGTATAATGTGGTCTACAGAGATCTTATACTCTTTTGTCTGTAAGTGCCGAAGGCTTAGCCTATATCTGGATTATACACACAACGTTTGATCTCAGGACAGCGGCACTATTTACAGCACTCTTAAAATAGACCTCGGTGACCAGCCTGAATTAATGGCGAAGCCTGATGAGTTTTGTGCAAGATCACACTTGAAACCTTCTGGAAATTTTTGGCACTTACTATGATCATTTTATGAGCTCTTCTCAGTGCAGATTCACCGTCTAACTTTATCAGGTCAGACTGTGTATAATGGCCTTATCTCAGGATATTTAGGCCTACAGCACTTCCATGCAGTGCAGTGTTAATGCATTTCACAGTTTAAGAAGGTGGAGCTTGTTTGCAGCAGGTGAATGAATGACAGTCAGTGGATTATAATCTTAACCTGGCTAAAGTCTTTGCTGACCCGTCCTGAGGACGCAGCAGGACAGAATGAGATCATCGCTGTAAAGAGGCCTATTAACTCTACAGCTTTACACCCTTTCTATTGTGAAATGAATGACTAATTGGTTAATGTACTAGATTGTAATGAGGTGCCCTCGCGTCTGCCGAAAGCTCACAGCGCTTGTGTCTTCTTACTTGATGGGAATTATGTGATGTGCTCTGATGTGAAAACATGGTAAAGGTAAAACGGCTGTTGGATTATTGTGTGTTTGATTACAAAGAGAGAGCAGCTTTAGTTTTCTAGTCCGCCGTGGGCACTAATCTGCTTTTATCTTATTTTGGTGGCGATTAGGGCTGAAACGTGTTTTTCAGAGCACACGGAAAACTTCCCACAGTCAAGGATGTTTTCCAAACGCTTGGATTGTATGTGCATTTGTGCAAATCTCTTTATCTAATAAACACAATGCATAAACTGCTTATATTGACTAGTGCGTTCATACTTAGACTTTTTTTAATGACTAAACGAGACTTTTCATAAAACCAGTGAATGTTTATTCAAAACAGCCCGATGATGATGTTAAAACTGATTCAATAGGCTGTTTGCATTTTTTTTTGCCTGTATGTTCATCCAGAACACGCAGAAAGAAAATATAAAAATATAATTTGTTTCGCTGTAATAGTATCGTGTTGTTTGCTGAGGTTTCAGAATAGTTTGCCGGCAGCTGCTTTGCAGTCCTGTGACGGGTGATAATTCGATAACGATAATTATCGCGATATAATTTCTCGATAAAACAATATGAAGGGTTCGATAAATGTTCGGTATAATGTTTATGCGCCAAAAGTGGAGCGAAACGGTGCGACTCATTTGAATCGTTTCACACGGACTGTTTATCTGCTCGGACCAATGTTCAAAACGGCCACGTGGTGCGAGCTCACTAGAGCAGATGCGTTTACTCACTCACATGAGCTCTAAGCAGCGCTGTGAGATCCAGTGTGAAGCGCTTGAACTCAGCGATGAACACCAATGACTCGGTGATTTAAACTAGTTTAAAGCCAAACAGGAGAAACACTGTGTGCAACGAACGAGACAGTCAGAAGGTTTTTCAATCTACACATCGCCATCATTTACCATGGATTTACTGTAGTAACACTCACTGCACCATGGTATTGTGGCACAAATGTGGGATATTCACATTGAATTTTATTACAGGAGTAATGGTATATACAGTGGGTACGGAAAGTATTCAGACCCTCTTAAATTTTTCACTCTTTGTTATATTGCAGCCATTTGCTAAAATCATTTAAGTTCATTTTTTTTCCTTAGTATGTATTTGGGATTAAGCTATAGCATGTATGCATTTATGCTGAATGTTTTTAGACTACTGTTTTTCATACAGGCTACCTAAAAACCATATAGTTATATTTTTACCATGGTATTGAGGTGCTATATGTGGGGGTTTAACTGTTTATCATGATTTAAATGTATGCTACTATGGAAGACCAATGCTTAATTAAAAAAAAAAAAAACGGTCAGAATAAATGTAACCATATAAAACTGAGGTTGCTACAATTTTTACAGATGTTACTAATTTTGATCATGAACAAAAATTTACCTCTGCATCCTAGGTCAAGCTACTATCAAATGTGCATTTCTAAGAGACAAAAAAGTGATATTATTATTATTATTATTATCAGGCAACCCAAACCTGTTTCTTGATTTGGAACAATATCACTCATTAGAACACGCAGAAACTAAGATTTTGTTAAGGAAAATGAATGGTCTGGTTTCTACAACTTTCACTGTGGAGCAAAAATCTGGCTTTAAACTTGAAAGAAATAAAGATTTGACATTTATCGTGATAATTATCGATATCGACTGATATGAAAAAAATCATCGTGACAATTTTTTTGGCCATATCGCCCAGCCCTACTTCAAGTTAAATCAAACTTTTATTTTGACAGGTTGCATTCACACAGAGACACGCTGAACATGCAGGATTCATATTTAAATAGTCTTTTTGTGGTGTCATTCACAGACACTAGTCCATATTGTGATTTTATTTAAGTGTACTGACCTACATTTGATTTATTCAAAATTTGACAAATTCCGTGACATTCCATGTTGTTAATTAAATTCCATTTTTATGAAAGAATCCTGCGATTCTGTCCTCGTTTTCCACATCACAGAAAGCATAGGGCCCTATGTTTAGGGAAGAGTTCATGTGGAATCAAAGTTCTCTAAATTATCTTAATTTCTTTCTTTTACTCTTTTTCAGTCTTTACTCTTTGCACTTTATTTTCTCTCTTCTTTCTTTCTCAGTTATGTTCCTTTGATCATATTTTTGGCTGATGTTTATTTAAGCTGAGCAGGACACACTCCAGGTCCGACCCTTCAGATCCAGCGCACACAGGAATGTGTGTGTGTGTGTGTGTGTGTGTGTGTGTGTGTGTGTGTGTGTGTGTGCACGATCGGCTCAGGAGTAGGAAGGGAAGGGCACAGATTGGGTCATTGAGTTTCCTGTCCTGGCAAAAACAGGAAACCTGGCCATTGGTTACATTCACAGTCACACTCTTTCCTCTCATCTGTGTCGTCTTAATTTATTTCCTCCCTTCAATTCTGTTGAAATCCTTTACCTGTCTGCTGAAAGCGCCTGCACTGTGCTTTCAGTTCTTCTGGTTCTCTCTTATGATGATGATGATCTAGAGCAGAGGTTTTCAAACTTTTTGGAGCCAGGGACCCCTTACAGGGGAGATGATTTTCCAAGGACCCCCTCATAATTATAACAGTGTTTAAGGTTAAAGTTTAATGTGGGTAGGAGGAATGAACATAATATGAATGTTTTATTGGTGCAAATGGTCCCCATTGTATATGTACTTTTTAATACTACAGCATAATATAATTAAATTGACCATATTTTCTGGAAAGTTGCACCAGGTCAAGGGGGGAAGACAAAACAAAACCCAAGTTGCATGGTGTGTAAGTCGCATTTTACTATTACTTTCAGAAATTATTTAAATACTGAATAGGTCTAAATAAAACAAATGTTAGGGGGGGGGGGAAACATTATAAACACTAACATGAATTTTACTTCCCCTCACTCCAAATCATTTACATTTTGTGGCATTCATAACAATAAAATAAATCAATATATATGTATATAAAAAAAATGTATTATAGTGCCGATCATTAGCCTACAAACAACATTTATTTTAAATGCCATAGGCGCCGATCCCGTGGGTGCTCGTGAAAAACACAAGATAGTCTTCATTAATTTTAACCAATAAGAAATGGATTGCAGCTTTTACAACTTTATTCTCGTATTTATAGTTCAGTTGAGGCAGTTTTTGGCATTATTTTAATGGCTCATGTCGAGAGTGCATTATTGTAATACGAAAGGGCGCCAGCACGAATCTCTCGGCTTACAGTGGGCTTGCTTTCCATTATATATGTGATCATGGCTCTGCACTCACTCAGATATTACATGTAACTCAAACTTTGTCCTGTGTACGCGCGAATAAGTGCTTTTTGTAAACAGGCATTTATTAAATAATTTTATTTAGTGAAGCGCAACCCTTATAGAAAGAATGTGTGTATTATTTTGGTTGGTAATTGCATGCATTTCACTTCGCAAGATAAATTTTGTGAAGTGAATTCATCAAACGGACCATCGAACGGAGTATAGCCTACTCTAGAAAAAACTAACACCCAGTATAATGAATTACTGAGTAATGAGAATGTTTAAATATGTTAAGCATCTGTTGCGTATGTGTATGATAACTTAGCCTGGTTATCATTTACTTGTGTAAACAGCAGTGAAATGTGTTTTATAAAAAAATTAAATACTTGTTTTTTGCACCAACTGGCAGAAACATAAATCGGCGCTTATGGCTGTCCATAACAAACTAAATCTACTTACTAAAAACTGAAACTTAACCACATAGGGGGCTCGCAAACCTCTCATTCGGCATGAATCGTTTCCATGAGTGAATCGTTATGAAGTCTAACATTTGGTAGCTAAAATATTAGGCTACCAAGTAAAGAAGGCTTTGCACTTCTCTCATGTCCGAATATCTAACAGCATCCTTCACATTTGCAAAAAAGTGTTTGGGAAAAACACCACGGCATGCTCACGCTGACCGGCAAAACCTACATATTGTACAACAGACAAGTTAAATTGAGTCACCAAATACCTTTTGTAGGTTTAGTCGTCTCATTTAGTTTGCTGATGAAGAGGCTGTGATGTCAAGTTGCAATGCTAGAACTGATTTGTTGTGTGTGTGTGGGAGGCGCCAGCGCGAACACTTTGGATTCCTTATATCAACGGAAAAATATGATATCTGTCAGATAAGAGCAAGATATCATTCAAAACGGTCTATTTTTATTTGTGTACCTTCAAAATGACAAAATAAATAAAATGACAAATTAAAGAAAACAAACAAAATGTGCTTGCCGTCATGGTCTATGTGAACCACTTCCTAAAATGAAGAAAAACTCTGCGATACTCTCTACTTGTCAAACAGACATGAGAAATCTATTTAGCTATGTAAACCTTGAAGTGCCCGCTTTTAAGTGTTTACGCTTTGCTTATTTGACATTAAATGCATTATATAAGTCACTTTGGAATAGGGCTGCACGATTAATCGAATGCGATTGTCATGCGAATTTTGTTAGTAAAGCCGGTTCTGTAATCAGCAGGAGATCATCATCACGTGCTTTCAGATGGAGCAGAATTTACTACACAGAGCCGTAGTTCACTGACAAGTTATGAAATCGAAGAAATCGTTGGTGATAATGACAGCTGTTTGCATAGCTTCTCAGTGAACTACGGCTCTGTGAAGTAAATGCTGCTCCATCTGAAAGCATGTGAAAATACCACATTTAATAACATGTTTTTACTCCAAACTCACTTCATAACGTCAGTCGAGTGTTTGAAATAAATCCTTCTGTGAGATGATGTGGCTTCTTACACAGAATAAGGCATGCAACATATTTCATAGTATTTAAGCAGTGATAAAGGCATTGCATTATAAATATACTTTTTTTTAAATGAAAATGATAATAATAAGAACAATAAGAAGCAGCCCTACTTTGGAATATAAATCATAGCACGTTTCAGAAGATAAAAAACACGTGTTGCATTCGGAAAATACGGTATAGCAAATTATTTTGCGGACCCCCTGGCTTTGCGTCACAGACCCCATTTTGAAAACCCCTGATCTAGAGCAAAGTGCAGCTTGGAGAGATGGCCCGTAATCACTACTTTAATTGCAGTGCACGAACGAAAGTCTGACCTTTACTGATTATATCTGGCATGAGTCAGTCAAATCAAAGAAATAAAAGCTCTTTACCTATATGAACATAAAAGCAATAGTTGATGCTACTGAAATTATGATGCTAACAACAAAGCAATGTCTTTGTCGTAGAGATAAAACATAATTTTAATAAAAAAGTGCAAAATGCATGTTCATGGCTAGTAAATTTCCTCTCTTCACCCATTAAACATTTTAGACCCTGATGATGTTCACTTTCAGTTATTCAGTTGCTGCAATCATGTCACGGTTTTCTTCTATAGAGAATTACACTGTGTGTGTGTGTGTGAGTGTGAGTTGGTGTGTGTGTGTGTGTGTGTGTGTGTGTGTGTGTTCAATTACACTGTATTCATGCTGCTTTCATTCGGATCAATTAATGCTCTTCAGCAGGAGCACTCACAGTCAGCAAAAGATAAGAAATAATGTCATTAACTCTGTGTGTTTCAGGCCAGTCTGTCCATCTGGGGATGGGGGGGTCTGGGAGTCGTCCTCTTCCTCATCACATTTGGACCTTTTGCCATCTTTTATCTGGCCTTCTACATCCTCTGTTTCATTGGCGGGTAAGTGGATCAAAAATACGTCTCATTTCAGTGCGCTTTAAAGGGATAGTTCTCCCAAAAATGAAAATTACCCCATGATTTACTCACCCTCAATCCATCCTAGGTGTATATGACTGACTTTCTTGCAGACGAATACAATCGGAGTTGTATTAAAAAATGTCCTGGCTCTTCCAAGCTTTATAATGGCAGTGAATGGGTGTTGAGATTTTGAAGTCCAATAAAGTGCATCCATCCATCATAAAAAGTACTTAATAAAGGGTTAATAAAATCCTCCTGAAGCAAATCAATGCGTTTGTGTAAGTAAAATATTCATATTTAAAACTTTATAAACTAATCTCTAGCTTCGGCTAACAGGTGCATGCGTTCACGTAGGCCTGGGCGATAAAACGGTATCGATATTTATCGATGGTACACCTTCTTCGATAACGATATAACAAAATTTCGATATAGCGCACGATATAGGCACGTGCTATGAGTGACGCACACACAAACATGAACACATGCTGAAATGAGTGCTGTGCCTGCCTGTGATGAGGAGATTGTGAATAAATAATGAATATTAGTCGAATTTAAAACAAATATTTGCATTTGAATGTTAGGTGTGCATCAGGGATCGTGAGATGCGGTGATAATGATGTAAGTGACGTTGTTGCATGTTAATGTTTTGTTAGTCTAGCCCACGAGATGCGCCGCTGCTATGTTATTCATTCAAAATATTAGAGAAATATAAAAGCTCAATGCGGAGAAGATCTTAATTAGGTTAAAACCGAAACCAAGCCATTCACACAGAACGCATATTCAGCACATTTTTTAGACAGACAAATATGACTGCTGCACTCGCGTCTCACACAAGAGATGTATAGAAAGCTATGCAAAGTTAAAACAGTTTAAACTTTTAGAAAACATGCACAAATTTGTGGAGGTTTATTCCTTTTCACTGAGTCTCTTTTTTAAAGGCAGTCTGTGTGACTGGCGCTTCAGCTCTTTGGATTAAGCAATGCATAAATACATGATGCTGTTTTGTTCATAATCGTTTATGCAATTTACAAATTATATTAGATTTTTATGAGTTAATTTAGATGTAATGCACGTCTTTTTATAGACAGTTATTTCCTTGCGTTGACCATTTAAATGCGCTGCATTATTTTGCTCATTGCGTCCTCCTGTGGCCTCGGGAGACAAAACAAAAGTTTCCTTAAAACATATTTAATCTGCATATAAAACATTAGAAATTAGATATTTGTTTAATTTTTATTTTGTGTTTGATTGTTAAAACAAAAAATATTTGTTGTTTGTCTCAATAAATTGGGTTAATTTAAAAATACAGTGGTTAAATTTAAACAGTTTTTTTCTATTGCTCTTTTTTTTAAAAAGGTTATAAAAAGTCAATAATTGTCGATACCGAACGATATGAAACATTATATCATTGATAAATGTTTTTGCTATATCGCCCAGCCCTACGTTCATGAGAGAGTGGCGTTCCAGTGGATGATGTAGGCGTAGCGTAAGCTCCGGTGAGAAGTGACGAATGCGGAAGCGCAGTTGAGAGAGCAAAACTAAACACCGGTCACGAATTAGAAATACAAAACGAGGGTTTGTAAAGAAAAATGTTTGAGGATTTCGCGATAAGCCAAGAGGAGACTGTTTTTTCTTTGCTGTAAACTAAATTTGGTTCTCATGAGACTAGCATCATCCCTTGGAATGCCACTCTCTCGTGAACGCACGTACCTGTTAGCCGAAGCTAGAGATTACAGTTCATAAAGTTTAAAATATGGATATTTTTCTTACACAAACGCATCGATTTGCTTCAGAAGGATTTTATTATCCCTTTATTAAGTACTTTTTATGATGGATGGATGCACTTTATTGGAATCTCAACAGCCACTCACTGCCATTATAAAGCATGGATTAGCCTGGACATTATTTAAAGGGGTCATATGATGTGATTTAAATTGTTCCTTTCTCTTTGGAGTGTTACAAGCTCTTGGTGCATAAAGAAGATCTGTAAAGTTGCAAAGACTAAAGTCTCAAATCCAAAGAGATATTCTTTATAAAAGTTAAGAGTCAGCCGCGCCTACCTAAAACGCCTCGTTCTAACACACCCCCACATGTCTACGTCACTGTGTGGGAAGATTTGCATAACGCCGCCCAAATGTTCACGCAAAGAAAGAAGGCGTAACTTTTATTCTCGCTGTAGTATTGTTGCCGTGTCCTGAAGGCACTGTGTGCTTCGTTGTGAAAGCGAAACTACTTTGTTTGGCCTTCCAAAAGAGGACGATATCTGCTTCGTCATGCCTTCGTCAAGCAGAGTCCAGCCCGGGGTCGTCACATG